ATTCAACCGGAGACGGCTGAATCAATATCTCACTCTGTGTTGTTACAGTGCTGCCTCTGTAAAATGAATTGAAAACACACTTGTTGTTCTGTCCTCACTCACACACCATCTCAGCTTCCATCTCTTTGTCCTGCCCTCCCCCGACATTTAGACGTTTGACGTCCTGGTTACAGCCTTTTAGTCAGAACTGATGAGTATCTCTATCTGAGGCTTCAGAATAGCTCTGACTCACAGCCATGGCTGTTGGGTGATTTATTTCCTTCTGCGCTGTCATACATACAGGATGTCTGCGACAAGACAAAGGTAGCTGTGAAATGTAACACCAGGTCCATAAAGTTTTGGCTCTTGATTTTGTGAAAAATTCTCATTCGGTTTCCTGGTAAACTCACCCAGTTTCCCGAATGTTTCCTTTAAAAGCCCAACAGAGGCTCATGTTTGATCAGACTGTGGTGCTAATAAAAGGCTCCCACAGACTCGGGCGTACCTTGTGTACTCCGTGAGCCGCGCGGACACTGCGCAGATGGTTAATACTTCATACTCGAGCACACACCCTGATGGAATGCAGCCCAGCTCCGCAGGCAAGGGGTGTTTACCTTTGGGACAAATTGAGGTTGTCGATTGGTCATTTTCTGACACGCCTACTGGAATGATTGACAGGTTGCAGCCCAGGAGCAGTGGCAGAGGTGTTATGTGTTTATGTTGTTAATAAAAAGTTCTAAAAAAAATTAAAAATAGGAAGCGCTGGCCCTGAAGCCCACACATCAGACCGGCCCACCGAGAAATCTACAGACACTCCCGCAGCCACGATGAACCTGATTTTGCTTCTCTCGTGACAAATTCCTTCATTTCTCACAATTTCAGTCATGGCTTCAAGAGATCGCTTGCCTCTTGGCAAAAAAACAAAAGAAAAGGCCATTAAACCAGACCAGGGATGAAGAAGGGAAATTTAATACATTGGTGTCGCATACAAAACAGTCTGTCGCCAGGCAGTTTATTGTGCGACACCGGACACGAGTACGCGGTTGTAAAAATTGATCTTTGCACGGGCATGGCTTGAGGGCGTCCGCTTTGAGTCTAATCCGGTACGCGTGAACCTCCGTGGACTGAAGTACGCCCGGGTATGCTGGAGCCCTAGTGTGGAGTCGTTGACTAAATCCTCCTCATGAGTGACTGTCAGGTTTACACATGACTTCAATAAAAACATAATGGAAGAATACCACGGTAAAGCCAATTTAATGAAAACAAGAAAGATGCAACTGAGTATAACGAACAGCAAAAACACTCAAAGCATGTTTCAAAAGGTGAAAGATGGATTCATGTTTTTGCCTGTGACTGTTTGTCTGTATGTTGGTAAAAATGGGCTGAAGTCTGCTGTCTAGACCAGGCAAAAACCTCAGACTTCTTCAGCTTCCTGTGATTGCGCACTCCAACCTATCAAGACAGCCTACTAGGGGTGTAATGGTACGTTAAAATCACATTTCGGTTCGGTTCAGTTTCAGGGAAGGCTCGGTTCGGTTCATTTTCGGTACAAAAAAGGCCAAAAAAAGACTTACAAAATGTTTATTTTGAAAATATGCCAAGTAAATAATATGTTTGTATAAAAATAAATAAAAACAACCCATTTGGATGATATTTTAAATAAACGGCACTCTTTACAATAAATAAACTGTACTAACAATAATAAAAATCTTAATAAATACAATAAGAGTCAGAACCAGAACAATAAGCAGCAACAGACCGTTTACGATCAAACTTATCAAGTTTTAGGTTTTTGGCCAAAAAGACCAATTTTTCCACATTTTCTGCCAAAAGCTCAGATCTAGTTGCAGCTACATTATCTCCAGCAGTGGAGAAAATACTCTCACTAACAACAGTAGCAGGAATAGAGAGGTGGCACTTTGCTAATTTTGCAGTGTGCCTGTATTTGTCCTCATTGTCTTTCCATTAAAGAAGAGAGTCAGCTTCAAGGGAAGGGCATGTTGAAGCTCTGTACTCACAAACTTCTTCTCAGACCTACTCCAGGAGGGATTTGCTACTTCCTGTCCCTGGAAAAGTTCACAAAAGAGTTCAGTCATTACAGACTTCTCAGCTGGAGGTGATCTGGTGAATGATTTCTTTGAATAGGAACTCAATGACATCCTCAGACTGCAAACAACACAAAGAGGTTTTTTAAAAAAAGAGTTAATAAAATTATAATTTTAAATTAAAAAAGTTATTTAGATAATAATAATAAAATAGCAATACCTCTTCTTGAATGGCCATCATTTCTGTCAAGAGGTGGTTGAATCTCTCGCTCATCATCATCAGGGCAGGGTTTTAATCTGGGCTCCAGGGCTTGTTGACAATATCAGTTTTAGCTTTTTCATAAAGTGCTGCTACAACTTTTTGGCTGAAGTGTTGACGTGGTGGGATGTCGTAGGCAGCGGGGCTCAATAACTTTAAAGCTGGAGTATCAACAACAGAATTCAGACATAGATCCAGAGCTTTAAAAACTCTTACAGCTTGTGTTATTGCTCTGGACCGATCTGAATTACCTGATAAAGGTGGGGGCCGAGATGGTGTAGAGGCAGGGCAGCCGGCTTGGGACCCGAGAGTCCCAGGTTCGATCCCCAGTCACTGCACATCACGTGGCGTCTCTGGGCAGCACGTCTAATCCCCAAAAATGTCCCCCGGGCGCTTTCAATAGCTGCCCACTGCACCACCTGGTGGTGGATGGGTTAAATGCAGAGACTAATTTCGCCATTGTATGGAAACATACAGTGCTGACATTGTGATGACATTATTATTATTATTATTAAATGCTGCTGTTATCGGTCTTTGCAACAAGCTGCTTTTCTTGCTTGTAGAAGAGACATTCACATTCAGATTATGTCATTTCAAGAACGTTAACAAGTTAGATGTGTTGCCTGCTGCAGGTCCAATCTCCGTGAAACAATGTTGACACACAGCTTTGGATTTTCACTTGTCTTTTAACAAGAAAGCCAAAATGTTCCCAAACAGGAGACCGCAACGAGATGCTAGGCTGCTAATGCTAGTGTGCTGCAAGACTATGCAGCAATAAATAGCATTGTGCTGAAACACGCTTAGGAACTTTAGTTGCGCGGCACATAATTTCTCATTAATCAAATTTAATGAGTGAAAAAATAACCAAAACGGTACGCACGTGGACCGAACCGAACATGCTGTACCAAAACGGTTCAATACACCCACGTGTACCGTTACACCACTACAGAACTACTGATCTGGCTGATCTGCTTCACACTACAAACTGCCATTATCGCTGCTGCTCCTAGTTTCTTTTTGACTTTTCAACATCTTAGTGGGCTCCGGGGTCAATGACACTTTTACTTCTCCATGGCCGTTACATGTCCAAGAAATCCTCGTGTGTGGTGTGCCACGCAGAAATGAGATCGGAGCCTAAACACCAGTTAGCCCATCCTCAAAGAGCAAATAAACAACTGCGCTGCCCATCCAAACTACATTGTTGTTATTATTTATGTTACAGTTTTTGTTGTGGCTACACTTACTATTCCATTCATATTTAAAAACTGGTTGTTGTTCATATTTTATTGTTTTTAACACATTTAACACATTTTCTATTTTAACAACTCACGTCGCCACAACCCCTTCTCTTCTTATATATTCCATTTTCGTTTTTTTTTTTTTTTAAACTCATGTTGCATCCCCCTCTGGCGGTTCCACACTTTGAAATGCCCTTCTATAAACCACACATGGGCAACGTATGGCCCGAGGGCCAAAAGTGGCTCTTGGACAATATTAATCTGGCCCCCAATATCTTTAATTCAATAAAGAAACCAACCTTTAAATAAGTTGATGAAAACATTCATTTAAAAAAAATCTTGGACAAATATATACAAAGCTGTTGTAATTAGGACGGCCAAAACTTTAATTTGGCCCGATAAGTTATTGTTTGCATAGAGATTTGAGGAGGGATGCTTTTATCGATCATGCTAAATGGTAAATGTTAAAAGGACTGTACTAATAAAACGCCTTTCTATCTAGTCAAGATACTCAAATCGTGTTATACTATAACCTGAGTCCTCATTTACTCATTCATACAGCACTCTACTAGATCTCTACAAAGAACACTCAGTGCTTTATGACATTCATACACTGATGGGACACACATCGGAGGCAATGAGGGGTTCAGTGTCTTGCCCGGGGACACTTCAGCATGTGACTGCTGGTGGAATCAAACCCCTAACTCTCTCATAGGAGGACGACTGCTCTAACCACTCAGCTACAACCGCCCTCGATGGCTAACTATGATACAAGAAAAAGCCTGGCAACATCTTCCAGATTATCTGTCTTGAATAAAAAAAATCCAGTTCACTCCTCAGTCCTTTGAACATGGACGGTTAAAAGTGGCTAACTTGATTTGGCCCTCTGGAAGCAAAACGTTGACCACCCCGCCTATAGACATTAAACTCAAAGTGTCTTCAGCATTAAAGACATCTGAACTTCATCGGTCTGACTGAAATGTTTTTTGGTCCATAAGTTGGGTCAGTTCATACACAGAAACAAAAGGGAACCTATTCAATAAAAGGCAGGTGATCGTGGGTGAGTGACGAATAAATAAAAAAAACTATTTAAGCCAAATGTACTAAAACAGTGTTTATTGTATTTAATAAGGTATTTTGTTCAGTCCTTCAGCTCTTGGGAAATGCAACAAAGTCTGATTGTGTGATCTCAAGAACTTTGTTGTCCTCTTACAATCTTTCAATTAAACTAAATTAGAAGCTGGTGGAATTAAAACCAGCTGTGAAATGACAGAAACAGTCTGAAAGCACTTGTGCTCTTCAGCAATCACTGCTGCTAGTCATTTATGACGCTGCTCAGGAGGCAAAGTGCTCACTTGCTCAGAGGCTCCTTTCAAGGTTATTGCAACAGGTAATGCATGCTTCAGAAGATTGATTGAACCCAAACACAGGTTTAACTTTTTGCTATTCTTTCTCCTCTGTGTGCGTTTATGAATGAAGGCTGTGTGTGTGTGACATGGACAGACTGGGGCGAAATGAATTCATCGGGGAGGTGAGAGTGGCTCTGAAGAAACTGAAGGAGGGCGAGAGCAAGCGGTACAACATGGGCTTGGAGAGAATCGCTCAGGTATGAACGGAGACTGAACAAACGCCCACTGGCGTTCTGGGTGTTTTATGATGTGTGATAAATGTGCACCCGTCTTAACGTCTAATTTCCTTTCAGAATAAAGACACAAACAATCAGTTGTTGGACCAGGGAGCAGTTGTAGCAGAAGAGGAGGTAAGAATCTTCAACTTCTATTAGCAATTTCACATCAGGATGAATTTAGGACTTTAATTATTTAGTTTAATTTCTGTACGTTTTCTTGTTGTTCTTATTTTTTCCCACAATGTAAAAAAACAAATAGGTTAAACTAGCATCCATAGGAACACATATCACCTGCCATAGTTCATGTGAAGATCTTACATGGTCTTTTAATGCTACAGTTTGTGTTGGGGATGACTCACAGCTACTACCACACTATTTTAGCTCAGTAGGTTTAATATGAACTGTTTTATGATCATTTTTGTGTCAGCTACGATCTTTCAGCTGTTGTGGCAATTTAGAATTGAATTGACTCCAAAGGGTAATCATATGTGCATGTACAGTATCCAATGGTTACTTTCTGAGAATTTCATTAAACTCCAAACAATAGTTCATGTGATATTTTGCTAACAGACAAATAAACAGACAAACCGTCATACTCAAATTTAACAAATTAGCCGTTTTGTCTGACTCAGATAAAAAAAAAAAGCTGTAATTATCAACTTTAATTTGAAACCTTCAGATAGACATTAAATGCCAAAGAGCAAAATAAATCTTTCATCGAGCCACTACATTAGTCTCTCGCTACTTCGCGGTTCGTTTTTTGTGGATTCGCTCTATCGCAGTTTTTCAAAATAAGATTGGACATGAGACACAATTGGCTGATTGATGGATGAGCTGCATTATTGGCATGGAATTTTTATTTAAAATAAATTATTTAGCACCTCCTGCACCTCTGTGCAACCCATACTGCAGGGTAAGCTTCCTGCTGCAGCTGATCAGCTGTTCTCCATGCAGAGCGGAGAAGTGGGCGTGACCAAGAACGCTTGCAGGTGACTGAGAGCAGCGGCGGCAGAGAGATGAAATCATGACATGCTGTGCTCTTTTAGAACATTTAGAGTTTACAAACATTGTTTAGAATATTGCTATAGTGTGGA